ATATCTGGACAAAAGTGTAATTTGAAAAGATACATACATCCCTAACTTCTCAGCAGTACTATTCACAATAGTCAAAACATGGAATCAACCTAAATGTCCACTGATAGCTGAATGGATAAAGAACAAGTGGTACACATATACAATGGGATATTACTCAGCCATAAAGCAGAATGAAATAATGCCATTTGCAACAACATGGATGGACTGGAGAGATTATCATACAAGTGAAGTAAGTCAGAAGGAGAAACACAAACACAATATGATATCACTTATAGGTAGAATTTAAAATATGACATTTAAAAATAAACCTATCTACAAAACAGAAACAGACTCACAGACACAGAAGACAGACTTGCGGTTGTCAAGAGGGAGGCAGGGTAGGGGAGAGATGAATTAAAGAGTTTGGGGTTAGCAGATGCAAGCTATTGTATACAGAATGGATAAAAAACAAGGTCCTACTATATAGCACAGGGAACTATATTCAATATCCTGTGATAAACCATAATAGAAAATAATAAAGAAAGAATATATATATAAAAGTTTCTTACTGACATAGCATTGTAAATCAACTATATTTCAATAAAATAATATAAAATATAAAATTACCGGCATCTAATCACATTCCCAACTGATAGCAGAAACAAAGTAACTTCCCCTACCTGACACTGGAAATAAAGAATAAGAAAAGACAGGGGCTGCTCAGTATCAACTCAGGAAGTTATACTAGCTGCTCTTCCTTGACTTGTCCCATACCACAGGAGCGGTTAACAGACCTCTGGATCACTCTTCTCACCTCCTTTCCACTGATTCTGTATCCTTCTCTTCTCTCTGCCTTCTCTCTCTATTCTTTTCTCTCTCCTTCTACCTTTTTTTCCTTCCTTGTATTCTACACTTTGTATTTGCATTCGTTCTCATTTCCCTTTAACTTTTCTCTGCACTCTGTTCTCCAGGCCACATTTCGATTAGAGTGGCCCTGGGGAATCCTTGGGCAATGCTTTGTCCAACTGGAAGAACTTAGGCCAATTCTGGTCACTTCTGTAAAGCATACCAACAGATTTCTCCTATTTCTGAGAAAACCAAGTAGTGATACCCTAAAGCCAATGGAGGATTACTGGCATATGAGGTCAAACTGTTACTACCCACAGTGGGTAAGACAAGCTTCTAAACTGCATTGTATAGTATCCTGAAAAGTAATAGGGAAAAGGCCCTCTTAATTTACAGTAATTTTAAATAAAAGAGAAATGGAAAGCTAAATATGAAGGAGAAAGAGAAAAAGAAGACATGTTTTGGGGGAAAATGCTGTGTGTTGACAGGGCAAATATTAAAAGCTACAGAATAGTTGCTGGGCCAGGAAGGTTGGGGAGAGGGAAAAAGAAAAAGTGGTCCCTGCCCCAAGGGAACTTAAGTCTTATTCCCACCATTTCCCAAATCCACAAATGTAAACATTAGAGAACCAGAGAGAGGAGAGTCTCTTGAACCAAAAGTGTCAGGAACCTAACACAAACGAATTGGATGTTCTGGGACAGAAAAATAATGACTGGATAGAAAACATTTGAATTTTAGACAAAGTCATCCCATGTGTTAAAGTCAGTGACACAGTATGAGAAGCCAAGAAAAGGAACAATTCACAATTAGGAGTCAAGAGCCCCAGCTGAGGTCCTAACAAGCTGTGTAACCTTGGGCAAGTCGCTTGACTACTCTGATCCAAAGACCCAAAGAAAGATGGGTCTTTCACTGGCAAAACTGACTGTGATGACTAATTAACACCTTGAAAAGTTTTATATAACATATCTACGTGAGGTCAAAGGAAGCAAAAATTCTACGTTTCAATTTCCAAAGTGAAAGCCTGACTCACCTTCCCAACCTTGTTAAACCCTTTAACGAACCTGAAAGAGTCATGTGAGGCTCCAGGGGTGGGGTGGTGACTATTTAGTCAGTTACTCTGTATCTCAGTGGCTTCATCTGTAAAATGGGAGGTGTGGAATTCACTCACATATCCACAAGATAGTGCAGGTCTGAGGAAGGAAGTGGAGAATTTACTGTACATGAGTAAAACATTTACACAACCCTCCCTCCCAGGGATAAATAACTCAGATCATCTGAACAGAATCAGAAGGGGCCTTAGGGAGCATTTACTCTCCTGTTTTACAGATGGGAAAACTGAGGCTCAGATAAATGAACTTGACTGTAGAAGTCTAAAAGCTAGCCTGTGGCAGAGCTGGAGCTAGGGGTCAGAGCCACCAATTCCCAAGTCCAATGCCCTCTTTGCCTGATCTCAGGGTCACCCAAAACACCTGAGGCCCTTAAAACGCATTACCAACAGCAAGACACACTACAATTTCATCAACAGCTAAATGTGGGCTACCCAAGGGAAGGGCTATAAGACTCTGAAGAGGTCGGTGCTGAGAGCTGGGAAAGGGAAGGCTTTGTTGGGAAGGTGAGTAAAGTCCCAGACATAAAGAGATTAAAGAAATCTGGAAGAAAAGGCTTATGACTTCCCTGTGGCTCAGACGGTAAAGCACCTGCCTCAATGCAGGAGACCCGGGTTCAATCCCTGAGTTGGAAAGATCTCCTGGAGGAGAAAATGGCAACCAACTCCAGTACTCTTGCCTCGAAAATCCCATGAACGGAGGAACCTGGGAGGCTACAGTCCATGGGGTCACAGAGTCGGACAGGACTGAGCAACTTCACTAGGCAGTCTTGGGAAGAAAGACCAGTGGATAAAATTTTCTTTAGGAAAAAGAAACAGGTGGCAGACACCAGAATGCTTTGAATCAGGTTAATTTTTTTTTTAGGACAATTCTTGATTATAATTACTTTGTAAATTGTAATTTACTCCTTTTGTTGTCTAAGTTGTAACAAGGTTTTCACAGAAATTACCAGAGTACACTACACGTAGTATGACTAAGTAGTTTTTGCGAATTTTTTTTCTTTATATAAATGTCTGTATATGTTTCAGTTATTATGTAAAACATATTTTTCATAGTAGTTTGCTTTTAAAAATGTGAGAACCACTGAAAGAATGAACAAAATAAAAGTTCAAATAGTGCCCGGCACACAGTAAGCACTTAGTGCTATAACTGTCATTGTTACTGTTATGTACCTATCTATTAAATTTGTCTGTGGGACTATCTAAAATAATATGAAGGCCCTTCGGAGAGTCTAATACACAAGACTGGTGTAAGTGAAAAGAAGCAAAAAGCCTTCTCTCCACCCATACAACACAGCCCTATTTAGGCACGTATCTGTTGCTTGGTCCACAAGTTATTTGTTACAATGAACTGAAAAGTCCACAGACAGCGATTTATCTAACACTGTCACGCTCAGTCAATATCTGGGAAGAAATGGAGGCCTGGCGCCAGAGTTAAGTTTATTTATTTTCACCTGGGTGGAGGTTGGGGTAGGGAAGGGGGAAATCATGCCCATGTGTAGCTGAAGGAAGCAAATGAGTCATACAGAGAAACTGCTCCCACAGAGCCAGGTAAATTCAAATGTGCCACAGACCAGGCCGGACTGACAGATACTTGAGCCTTCATGCAGGGCTGAATCACTTCCTTCTCTCTAGTCTCATCCAGACACATTTAAAAAAGAAAAGGCATCTGAGCCCGACAGGCATAGCTCACACCAGGAAAAACTGGGAATTCCCAAACAGATACAAACAGGGGATGACTACGCATCAAGAAGTTACCTGAGGGGCTCCTTTAAATGACAAGCTCACCTAAACGTCCAAATAGTATTTAAATTCTAAAACCCTGATTTAGAGAAAAATTTGAAAATGTGCTCACCAATAAATGTATCAGAAAGTCTGGAATCCATCCTGGACACTGTGTGACCTTCAATTAGTCACTTCATCTCTCTTGGCCTAAATGAATTCATCTGTTAAAAAGAGAGAGAACACGTACTTCAGAAAATCATCGTAAAAATTAAAGACAGTATGCAGTAAAACGGTTAGCCGAGGATCTAGCACTGGTAAATACACAAGAAATGTCCGTCCCTTCTAGTCTACAAGTTAACAGTTGATGTAAACTGAGGTTCACTGGCCAAGCTGGCCTATGAAAAAGGTCATTAGGTATCCCAGACGCTTCATGGAAATTGCTTTTATAAAAAAGAAACTTTATAATACCATTTATCTCTCCAGCACAACAGCCTATCTTATAAGTCTAGGAAAGCAGTAATTTCTCATCTCATTCCTTAATGATTGCTAAATGTTTTGGCACTGCGTCCCCACTTATCCATTCATTATTAAACATAACAAGCTAGGGACTGGATATGATGCCTACTTTCTACAATTAATCGCGGCCCTGTTGCAAATTAATGAGAGAAATGTATTAAAATTCGCCAGCTGATGGAACTTCCCTGGTGGTCCAGTGGCTAAGACTCTGTGCTCATAATGCAGGGGGCCCCCGGTTCCAGCCCTGGTCAGGGAAATAGGAGTCCACATGCTGCAACTACAAGGTCCTGTATGCTGCAATGAAGACTGACGATCCCACATAGCGCAATTAAGACCTGGCGAGGCCAAATAAATATTAAAAAACAAAAAAATTCCCCGCTGAGATTGGGACCAGCCTACGCGGTTTCAACCCACTGTGGTCACAGCACTCGCTGCGCGGAGAAGGCCCCATACCGTGGTGGGGTGGGAGGGGGGCCCATTCTAAAGTTTTCAGGCCGACCCCAATTTCTCGTTGGGACGAATCCAGGACACGTGTCGCCATTTTGTGTTCAGCAAATATGGCGGCCACCCCCACGGGGAAGGGGGGGGGGGGACTGAGGGACCGCCACGTTAGCCGCTTTCCCTAAGGGATCCTAAAGCATGCCGCGCACTCGGCCTGTTCTGTCTGGCTCAAGCGAAGGAAAAGGGAACGGGCAGAAATCACAACTGGCGCACCAACGGCCCCAGCGACCTTTCCTTAGCGGGAGGGCCGCTCGGCTCCACACCCTCAGGAAAGGCCCTCCAAGATGGCGGGCCCAGTTGGGGGCCGCCCCCGGACAGCGCGGGCGCGATGGCTGCGCTGAGCGGGGAAGGGGCCGAAAGGCAGCAGCGGGACCGTAACCCACGCGGGGGAAACCGCAGGAACCCCCTGAGAGCCCGGATAAATGCACGCCATTGTCTTAAACGTGTGACGAGGCGGCAGCGACTAAAACGACACCAGCGTAGGAGGTGGGGTTTCTGCGGGCTTAACGAAGAGTTGCAAAATGCAGACAAAGCATTATGTAAATGGACGCCATTCTCTTTATGGCCCCGTTTCTAGCACTTCCCAGAAACCATCAGCATAGCCGCGACTCTGATGGCGGCGGCGCGAGATAAGTTTTGGTCTTTCTCCCCACCGGCCGCCGCCACAGGGCCGGGGCGGGGGTGGGGGCTGGCGCGGGGCGCCCGGACGCTGAGGACGAAGGGGCCCCACGTGCCCGCCCGAGCGGGCGCCCGCCCCAGAGGCCTCGTCTCGCCTCCCCTCCCCCCCGGAAGACCGCGGCTTCCCCTCCCGTCCTCCCCACACCCTTGCGCATGCGCTCTGGTCTCCTCACGCGCACGTTTTAAACCCGCGGCGTCCTAGCAGCCGCCTGCAGTTACGGCCAGGGCTGCCCGTGTCGCTCCGCACTCAAACCGCTTTTGTACGGCGGGAAAATAATGTGTCGCTCTCAAGCACAACACTGCCATTTCCAAACGTTTGCCGGCGCCTTGTTGGGGTTAATAAAATACATGTTCGTCTTAAAATTTTGCCGGAATCACAGCTTCTGCCCACCGGGGCTTTATTTCCAATGCTAGCCTATTAAGAGGGTTTTTAAAAAATACTCTATTGGGGTTGGCGCAATCTTGTGACCTAAAAAGTATGGGTCCTCATTTTTTTTTCAAGGGGTCCTGCGCAGCAAGCACTTCCGGGGTCAGAGGGTACGCGGGGTTGAAAGCGGGCTTCCCGCCCCGCCCAGACCGCCGAGGCTGCCGCCGGAGTCGCCACCGCCGCGCCCTCGCCCACCCGCCCGCCCGCCGCTCCCGGCCCCGCTCGCCCCCTCCGCCGCCGCCGCCCGCCCCTGCGACGACGCCGCGGCCTCCCGCCCGCGCCCGCTCGCTCCCGCGGCCCTCGCTCGCCTCGCGCCGGCAGTTTTGGGCCTACACCTCCCCTCCCCCCGCCAGCCACCAAAGACTTGACCACGTAACGAGCCCAACTCCCCCGAACGCCGCCCGCCGCTCGCCATGGATGCCGGTGTGACTGAAAGTGGACTAAATGTGACTCTCACCATTCGGCTGCTTATGCACGGAAAGGAAGTAGGAAGCATCATTGGGAAGAAAGGGGAGTCGGTTAAGAGGATCCGCGAGGAGAGTGGCGCGCGGATCAACATCTCGGAGGGGAATTGCCCGGAGAGAATCATCACTCTGACCGGCCCCACCAATGCCATCTTTAAGGCCTTCGCTATGATCATCGACAAGCTGGAAGAAGATATCAACAGCTCCATGACCAACAGCACGGCGGCCAGCAGGCCCCCGGTCACCCTGAGGCTGGTGGTGCCGGCCACCCAGTGCGGCTCCCTGATTGGGAAAGGCGGGTGTAAGATCAAAGAGATCCGCGAGAGTACCGGGGCCCAGGTCCAGGTGGCGGGGGATATGCTGCCCAACTCCACCGAGCGGGCCATCACCATTGCTGGCGTGCCGCAGTCTGTCACCGAGTGTGTCAAGCAGATCTGCCTGGTCATGCTGGAGACGCTCTCCCAGTCTCCGCAAGGGAGAGTCATGACCATTCCGTACCAGCCCATGCCGGCCAGCTCTCCAGTCATCTGCGCGGGCGGCCAAGATCGGTGCAGCGACGCTGCGGGCTACCCCCATGCCACCCATGACCTGGAGGGACCACCTCTAGATGCCTACTCGATTCAAGGACAACACACCATTTCTCCGCTCGATCTGGCCAAGCTGAACCAGGTGGCAAGACAACAGTCTCACTTTGCCATGATGCACGGCGGGACCGGATTCGCCGGAATTGACTCCAGCTCTCCAGAGGTGAAAGGCTATTGGGCAAGTTTGGATGCATCTACTCAAACCACCCATGAACTCACCATTCCAAATAACTTAATTGGCTGCATAATCGGGCGCCAAGGCGCCAACATTAATGAGATCCGCCAGATGTCCGGGGCCCAGATCAAAATTGCCAACCCAGTGGAAGGCTCTTCTGGTAGGCAGGTTACTATCACTGGTTCTGCTGCCAGTATTAGTCTGGCCCAATATCTAATCAATGCCAGGCTTTCTTCTGAGAAGGGTATGGGGTGCAGCTAGAACAGTGTAGGTTCTCTCATAACCCTTTCTGCTGTTTTCCCATGATCCAACTGTGTAATTTCTGGTCAGTGATTCCAGGTTTTAAATAATTTGTAAGTGTTCAGTTTCTCCACAACTTTATCATCCGCTAAGAATTTAAAAATCACATTCTCTGTTCAGCTGTTAATGCTGGGATCCATATTTAGTTTTATAAGCTTTTCCCTGTTTTTAGTTTTGTTTTGGGTTTTTGGCTCATGAATTTTATTTCTGTTTGTCGATAAGAAATGTAAGAGTGGAATGTTAATAAATTTCAGTTTAGTTCTGTAATGTCAAGAATTTAAGAATTAAAAAATGGATTGGTTAAAAAATGCTTCATATTTGAAAAAGCTGGGAACTGCTATCTTAAACTCTTTGTTGGTGCCTTTTTTTTCCTCCCCTTTTAGCGTTAGGCCTTTGTAGGAAGAAAGGTGGGCCCGTTCCTGGTATTTTCTCCAGCCCTTTTCATCTTATTGGTAAGATTCCATTCCCTCTCGTCCCAACAAAGGAACCCGGCAGGCTGGGCCTGCTTTGGGGTGTTTGCAGAGATGGAAGGCTCTCTTGGAGAGTGACATCCCCCCAGCTAGGTTCCAGAGAGAGGCCTCTGCCCATTTCTCTGGTAGAAAAAAATGAGGATTTTCTCAGATTGGAAGAGTATGCCCATTCTGTAGGACCTCTGATGAATGGTAGTGTGTCCTCTAGTCCAGCCGGCCCCAGCCCCACCCCCAATCCCATGTGCAAAACTCTCAGCCAGGAACAAAAAAATGTTCTGAGGTGGGAGGAGCTTGGGGGGGCCCAGAGAAGAGGTGGGGGAGGGAAGGGCTGGGCTGGGGGTGAAGGGAGGGGCTGAGATGGAGGGAAGGAAAGGGGGCTAGGGTGGGTCTAAGGGCATGGGAGAGGGTAGGTGCTGCAGGGTGGTGGTAGGCATAGAGGGTGGTGTTTGGGCAGCAGGACTGAAGGGGGATGGTACCAGCGGGGCGCACGTGTCGAACATAGCACCTGTGGCAAGCAGCCTGTCAGGATGTTACTACACCTGCCAAGTGGCGTATCCAGAAACAAAGGAGACCCAGCTTATAATTCTTCAACTGTGTGCAATGTTTAGAGAAATCATTGTACCAGGAAATAATTCTATCTAAATGGGGCAGTCCACACTGGCAGGAATGTAGGCTGATCCGTTGACAACCGCCGAAGAATGACCTCAATGTTAAAAATGCAGATTCCTGGGTCCCACCCCAAATCTCATCAGAAGACCGCATTTTTAACAAGACTCCGAAAGGTTCAGAGTTAGTGCCGCTAATTCTCTTCACCGGTGGAGAAGAAAGATTTTGCTGTAAAGGCCTAGCAGCCTCATGTCCGCCAGTAGTTCTAGGCTGAACCTGATGAGAGGAGGAAATTTTTCTACTATTAGGCAAAAACACACAAGAAACAGCAGATTAGGAAAACACAATTAGGTGCCAAAGTGTGTAGTTCAAACCAGGCAATGTAGGAGATCACAGAGAAATCCCTGTGGGAGGGGAGTGTTAGCCACCTTAAAGCCTGTTGAGGTTTCTTCTCTGCAGGGCATCTTTTTTCGGAGGTACAGATCTGGTTCCCAGGGCCCCTGGAGGTAAGATTGGGGTCTATTATGTACTTCATATCTACTGTGAAGTCAGGCAGGTGGTCACAAGGAGCACAAATCCTGGAGTCAAACCTGAATTTAAATTTGCATTCTGCCACTGTGGCCATGGGTGAATTACTTAAGCTCTGTATAAGACGGAGCTGTTGAAATTAGCATCTCCTGGGTTTGGGGGTGGGGAAAGCATGTGTGAAACAGAACAGTGCTTACAAGACAGTAAACTTCACTATAGATTGTGAAAAGCCAAAGGCCCATTTCTGCCCACAATTTCTTTGGGCAAAGAAATATTGAAAGAAAGCAATGTTTACTAAGTGATAAACAGAGAAGGTAGTTGTCTTGGGCCAGGATAAGTTAGGGAGACCCTAGCAAAGACCCAGAAATGGGTTCAATGTCTTCTAGAAATGAGCTCTTGTCTGTGTAGAATACGAGGGGATAATTATGTTGGACCCTGAAACACCAAGCTAAATGGTTTGTAAGTTGTCCCTGAAACTTGCTGGGGGAATGGTTCCAATGCCGTTTAAAAAGTAGGCCTCATTTTCCTCAAACCATCCTTCCCACTGCTTCAAAGGCAAAGCTGACAGTAATTTGTAGAATGATTTAGGTAGCAAGAATGGATAGGATAGAAAGACTGGCAGCTTAGAATAAAGGCAAGAACAGCAGTAAGAAAAATGCCTCAGGTAAGCAGGTTCTAATATTGGTAGGGAAGTAGTTATCAATAGAAATTCATATAGAAGGGGCTGCCAATGCAAGAGATATTGAAACTGAGGAGGCAAGAAAAAATGATGTATGGAATGAGAGGTCAGACCTGGTGATTGGAGTTATTTGCAGGTAGAAATACTCAACAAGTAGCTTGAAATAGAAGAAAAACTGAAAAAAAAAAAAAAAGACAAAGGGAATCAGCTACAGGGAGACAAGGAGAGGAAAGGGCTAGAACCTGAGCTTTGGGGTATAACCTGGAGGTAAAGGGATCTAGTCTAATTGTTCACTGCTATATTTCTAGTGCCTGTCACCATACCTGACATACAACAAGGGCTCAATAAGTACTTCTGGAATGAATATGAAGGACGCAGCCAAAGAAGAAGAAATAAGGGCAGCAGGAGAAAAACCAGAATAGCACCCTTGAAAATGGTCAAGGAGGAAAGTTTCAAGGCCAGTGGAGTGACAATAAGGCAGTAATTGCAAGATTTAAGATTAATTGGACATCTAGGTGCAAAAATACTTTGAACTAAAACTCTTTAAGTTTTGGTACACTTGGGAGATGTGTAATAGCCCATTGTAGTTAGAGCACAGTACTTGGTAAGGGAGGGAAGGGGAGGTGGAGAAGTCATGGAATCATTTGAGACTAAATTATAAACAGCTTTCAATGCCAAAATAAGGGTTTGAGCTTTATCTTGAAACCCAGTCATCCAAATATTTTCTTAAAATGTACCCGTTTTAGAAAAAGTCCTTATTACATGCTCATTTATCAATAAATTGTGTCTGTAGTCATTATGCTTATTTATAAACTATATACATGCATAATTTAAAATATGGCTTGGAAAAGATAAAAAACATAAATGTTAATAAGATAAACTGAAGTCTAATTTCTAATAGTTTTTTTTAATCCCCTTTCTTCCAGTCATTTTGGAGATTAAAGGGGACACTGGAGAAGATAATTTTGATGTCATGAGTATCCTTAGGAAACAGAATGTCAGAAGAGAGATGCAGAGAAGCCAGATTGCTGCAGGAGAGGAGGGCCTGGGGACCAAGGCAGTGAAGACAGGAGTGTAGATGACTCAAATGCTTGGTACAAAGGAGGAAAAGAAATAGGACAATAACTTGATGGAGGAAAACTGGGGGAAAGGTCTCTTTTTGTTGTTGTTTTTGAATGAAACCTCACTAAAGGCAAAGTAATAAGGAGGCAGTAGAAAGCTGAAAATGAAAGCTGCAGGTTTAAGAAGACTAAATATAGAGCATTGGGGCAGTGACTGTGAGATGTCCCCCAGGTTTGACTGTCACAGTTGAATCCACTTTGTCCCCTCTTACGAGCACTCGCACTTAAAGAGTCCTCCACTTTCTCTTTGGGGCAGCTTGAGCCCATCCCATTCTTTTCTGGACTGAGGACTGAAAATGGATGCACACCCTCTGCAGTTGCTGTGTTTCTTCTCACAGCCCCATCATTCCTACCACCAGCTGTTAGGCCACAGCCACTGCCACAGTCTGGAGAAGGCTAAACAGCTTGACAGGCACCTGTTGTGTCGTACCCCTGAAGTTGTCCCCTGTATTTAGAAGGCTAGTCTTCCCCCAACCCCTATGCCCTCCATTGCCCCACTCTGCACACATATATCACCACCATATACCCCACCCCAAGGCTAAACAGCTTGACAGGCACCTGTTGTGTCGTACCCCTGAAGTTGTCCCCTGTATTTAGAAGGCTAGTCTTCCCCCAACCCCTATGCCCTCCATTGCCCCACTCTGCACACATATATCACCACCATATACCCCACCCCAGCCAGCTGAACCGTTGGGTAGTACATCACCATTTTAAGGTTCACCCCCTAGAGCAGTTACTTATTCTCTGTCACTTTGCTAAGAGCTTGAGGTTTGTGAGCTGAATCCACGTCACCACCACCACCCTCACCCCACCCCCCAGCTATCCCAAGTAGTGAACCACATACAGTCCAGCATTGCTGGGCCTGTCACCTCCTGCCAAAAAGACAGCACCCAGCCAAACATATAAATAGGCAGTCACCTTCAGAGAAGCTGCCCACTGCCGAGTCCTCTGGCCACCTTGCCTGGCCTGGCCACCTGAAGATTCCAGTCTGACCACATCACTCCCTTGCTTAAAGGCCATCAAGTCCCACCTTCACCCATGGTCTTCAAAAGAAAATCCAAATTCAGTGGAGTTTCCAGACCCTTTGGGATCTGTTCCCACTAGTGCAAAGCTTGCCAGCTTCTTACAGTTTTACAAAGTCATTCTGTTTGGACATCCTTGCATTTGGAAAAGCATTTGTTTCTTCATAATCTGTCCCTGGCTGTCCTCTTCATTACTTTCCTGGGTTCTGGGGCTCCTGCTCTTTTAGCATGAAAATTCTGCAAGGAAATTTATACTGATGAGCAAGAGACCTGAGTTCTAGTCCTGGCTCTAGGTGATTTTGGACAAATTGCTCACCTTGCTGGGTTTCAATCCTTCATCTGAGATAACTGGATAAGATAATATCCATGGCTGCCTTGGGAAATGATACTGCTTTCGTGGGCACCTACCTCTACTTCTCTTCCTGCCACAGGACTGACTTTCGACACACATGCCTTCTGTAAACATTCTTAAGAAAAAGGCAAGTTAACAAAAACCTGGCAGCAACAAGCCCATCTTGGCATTTTGGATAACTTG